GTCTCACCTGTGCTGAGGGGACTGATGGTAGTAATAGCCCTGTGAACCTTGTTGTTGGGGCTAAACTTGTCTCCCCAAAAGATATGTCCAAGTCCTAACCCCTGGAACCATGATTATTGGAAAAACGGGGTCTTTGTAGATATAATGAAGTGAAGATGAGGTCCCACAGGATCAGGGTAGAGAAAGGAGAGGGTTAGACACAGATGTCATCCTGCAGGGATGAAGGGCACCTGACTATGGAGCCATAAGAAGCTGAGAGGAGCACAGAGCATTCTTCCCTGGAGCCTTCCAAGGAAGCACAGTGATGGACGCCTTGGTCTTGGACTTCTGGCCTCCACAACCAGACTCTCCAGCCTCTGTCCTGATCCTGGCCTGGTAGAATGAAGGAAGCCTCTGCAGGATTTTCCTCTCAGATAAGATGACACAGGGGCTGGGGTGTAGCTTAGCAGTAGAGAGCTTGCCTACCATGCACAGGGCCCTGGGTTCTAGCCCCAGCACTGGAGAGAGAGAGAGAGGGAGGGCAGGAGGGAGGCGGGGAGACACACACACACACACACACACACACACACACACACACACACACGGAGGGAGGGAGGGAGGGAGGGAGGGAGGTGGAGATCTAACAGGAAGTACTTCCATCTCCACCTTTGTCTTCTGCCTCTGTCCCTTGTCTTGACAACCAATGTTTGGGGTGTGTCTATTAATGAGTCACTGAAGAAGCAAGGTGAGGGACCACACCCCAAACTTCCTTCTCCCTCTTAATAGTATATGTTAGTCACCTACTGAAGACAGGAACAGCGGGATTATAGACGTGAACAAGCAAGGCTAGGTGACATTCAGTCTGGGGGATCCCATGAAGGTCGTGACCCAGGCTATGTCCAGCCACTCGGAGTTCCAGCGAGATGGATGTTCTGACCTAGAAGCCAGGGAACTGCCAGAACAGTGACTGGCAGAGGGTGACCTGGCTGTAGGGAGAAGCCCATAGGGCTGGCAGGGGCAGAGGATGCAGCAGAAGCCCCCTGGCCTTCAGCCCTGCTCAGGAACACAGTCAGGCTGGCTTCTCTCTGTCCCAGGCAGTCACAGATTACAGTGTTGAGCACTGCGATGATTTGACAAAGTTGACCCTCCAAAGCGCAGAGGGGTCAGTGGCCTGCCCCAAGTTACATGATTCACTTGGCACATGGTCTCAGCCCTATGACCACAGCTCTTTTTCCCCAAACCCTTTGCTTAGAAGGCATGTTTTGTATTTTGGCTCCAGGATGGTGCAGATGAGTTCTGATCACTGCACTTGTGTGATTTCAAAATGCCAAAGTGAACAGGAATAAGCCAAGGGAACTGTCCCACCCCTGGATTCTCTCTCAGCACTTCCTCTAGAGCCTACATAAACCCAGCACCCAGGGAGTTCTCTTTTTGAGGGTGGGGCTAATGCCAGTAAGCTTGTGAGGATCTGGGGCTGCTCAGAGTCACAGTGGGCTCTGGGTGACCCCACATAGGACCTGATAGAGCAGAGGGGGAGACCCTCTTTCCACTACTGAGTGTGGATCACTGCTGTGTTAGGGGCAGGTGCTATCCTTCTGTCAGAGGAGAGGAAAGCCAAGCCAGGAGCAGGAGAGAAGCCCGGATAGAGACCAAAGGGTCTGGAGCTGTCCTGGCTGAAGCCCCCTTTCCTTCCTCCCCAGGAAGTGCTCTTGAATTGTCCTCCCACCTTAGCACCTACGTCCCATCTCAGATCCAGCATGCTCTAAATTCCTCCTTCTTCCATCTGCACCTCTCCCTAAGATCTCATCAGATCTGTCTGCTCCCAGCTCAGGCTCAACATCCCTAGAACAGGCTATCAGAATTCAAAAGTACTCCCCTTTCTGAATAGAAAAGTTAGGTGTGCTTGTTGTAGAAAAATGGTTAAAGACATAAAGGAAGAAAGGAAAAGCATTCGTACTGTGTGCTTTGTTTCCTGGAAATCTTCTCCTGCATATTTTAATATAGTGCTTTTATCTCATAACCCCTTCAACTGCCAATTTACGTCATACAATTATTGAATTTTCTTGGACTGTGTTTTTTCTTTTGTTTTATCCTTTAGTATAGGAATTGAACTCAGAGCCCTGCACATGCTAGGCAAGCACTCTGCCACTGAGCTCCATCCTCAGCTCTTTTGAGTCAGAGTCTCACGACATTGCCCAAGCTGGCCTTGAACTTGGAATCCTCCTGCCTCAGCCGTCTGCGTAGTTGGAACTAGAGGTCTGCACCACTACACCTGGTGGGTTTTATTGAACTCTGAAAGTTCAATAAAACTTTTTCCCAAAGTTCGCATAATATTCCAGCATATATGTGTATAATGTTTTAAACTTAGTCTTCCAATTTTTGAGCATTTAGTTTTTTTCCAATTTTTTAAAAATTGTGTTTGGAATGGTCTTTCAAAACATAGATCTACTAAAATCCTTTGGCTTCCATGGCCTTTTGGACATTAAAATTCTCCTGCTGAGGCCAGTCATGACCAGATGCCTGCTACCCCGTCTTCTCCACCCCTCTCCCCACATCCTGGATCCTTCTCCATGGTCCCCTGCTGGCTCCCTCCTGTCCTGGTGGCAGCCCTGGGCTCAGGGAGCCATCCTCCACCTGTGTCAGGTTGGAAGTCATGACAGGTGCCCTCCTGATGGCTGCCCTGATCGCAGCCAGGGAGAATAAAGGTAAGAAGAGACCAGAGAAGTGACCGCTCCTCTCCTCTGGCCATCCTTGACCGTAGGCAACACCTGCAGCTGTGTCTGGTGACCTGGGGGCAGATATCCTCCATAGTTGGGGACAAGGATGTGCATGGAAAGGTGGAAAGCCTGCCTTCCCTGATAAAGCGCTGAACAAGGGACCCTGTTTGTGGGTCAGTCTCCCCTGGATTTCTTGTAATGTTCCTGTTTGTTTAAGTCACTATTAACTGTGGGAAGCCATTCTTGCATGTGATTGGGCACCTCCCTGATTGGGTGTGAGGCGTTCTGGCCAAACTGTGTCAGAGCTTATCCCCACCCTCTCCAGGTGCGAGAGCCTGTCCGTGTGGGGGTGTGACTGACCATTGACCCTGAGACCAATCACTGACCCTGACCTTGGACCTTGGAATGCTGCCCCCCTTGACCTTCATTGGATGGAATTTTCCCCTGAATTTCTTGTTCCCCAATAAAAGGCCACTCCCTGGTGTTCTCGTTCTCTCTCTCTCTCTCTCTCTCTCTCTCTCCTGCTAGTCCTGTGTTAAGCCTTGCTGCCCCACCGGGTGGTTTGAGGCGAGAGCTAGAGGGAGGGCCGTCTCGGACCTGGTCAAAGAAAAAGGTAATTGAGTCTTGTGTGTTTATTTTGATCTCACTAGTTAACTTCTATGCTATGAACCTCTTGTATGAAACCAGCGTGCTGGCTGCACGGTGGAATTAACTATCACCAAGGCGTCCAACAGCTACTTCACTCCTCCCTCCCGATAGCCCCAGGCCTGCCCATGCTGTGACACTCTTATCTTTACACCAGGCTCACCCTGCCCACTCTCAGGTGCTCCCAGGACGGTTGTCCTAAGACCCTGCTTGGTCGGAGGTAGTCCTTTCTTCCAGCCCATGTCACTGTACTTGGAACAGCAGACAGTCACAAGCCTGGGTGCTGGTGGGGAATTTCTCCAGGACAATGGCCCTCACTTACGCCTTGTGCACCCACTACATCTAGTCCACAGTAGGCGCTCAGGAGGTGAGTGAGTATGGGGCCTGGTCTCCGCCTTTGGGATTTTTACACTCAATATGTGCTGTGGACTGTGTCCCCCTGTACGTCACATGTGGAGGCCCTAACCCGCTATGTGACAATGTTAGGAGATGAGGCCTTGGGGAGGGAATTGGGGTGRGTGTGCTCCGAGGAGACACCAGAGTGCTTTCTCTCCTTCTCCTGCCCTGGGGGGACAGGTGAGATCTGTCAGTAGAACATCCCTCACTCCATACTAGGACCAGGTCTTGGGCTTCCAGCCTCCAGAACTGAGAGGGAGGGCCTGCTCAACACACAGCTGACTATTGCTTGACAGGGTGGGGTGTGGTGGGACTTCTGCCTTGAATGGCCAGCCATTTTTCATCTCTAGAGTTGCTCAGGCCAAGAACAGGTCAGAGGAGGAAAGAGGGCAGGTTCCTGCGACAGCTATGAAGGAACTCAAGGGGCCTCAGCTAGGGGCGGGCTGAGCTGTGACGGAATCTGTGGCCCCAGAGCCTGCACTAGAGTGTTGCTGGTGCTCCCTGTTGGTGCTGGCTTCGAGGGCCCAGCCATCCACACTGAGGGGCACCTGGGCTCCAGAGCCAGAGGTGGGGGTGAAGGGGAGGTGCACAGGGAGGTGCACAGAAAGGAGAATCAGAGGAGAGAGCGAGCTCTGAGCTGTGGTGGAGAAAGACTTCAAAACCCACTTCCTCTCTCCCTGCCCTCAGAGGAACTGCTTGACAAACAGGACATCCTGGAAGACAGGAGTGGCTGTGAACTTTGGGTGATGCTACCACCCCTGGCTTTCCCCTTGGGGAAAAATGATGCCGCCTTTCTGATGAACTACTGGATCAAGGGGAAATCACGTTGCTGCCAGTGCAGAGCCAGGCTTGTGGCCAGCACCAGGGGATCCCCCTGGCTGCTCCGAGTACCTCCATATCTAGTAGTAAGATGAAGTCAAAGACGCCAGCAAGACCAGCAAACGGATCAGGCTCCCTTGGGACAAAGTTGTAGAATTACCTGGCTGGGTTAAATAACCTACCAACCAGGGGCTGGTGGAGGACAAAGGGAACCTGGAGTCCAGTAGAGAGAAGCCATCCTGTGATCTGTTGCAGAAATAAGGACAGAGGCCTACATTCTCCCTTTCCTGCTGTGCCACATGGAACTTTATATTTCAGCTGATTTCTATTTTCTTTTCCCTAAAAGGGCAGCAATTCTCAAGTCCTGACCACAGTTCCCCTTTACACTCTTAAAAATGATTACGGACCCAAGGTTTTTGAGTTATATCAACATTTACCATGGTAGAAATTAAAGCCAATAACTTATTCACTTTAAGTTCTTATTCACTTTAAAACAATAAATACATTAACTTTTTTAAAAAATGAAAATGACCACTTTTCAAAACCAAACCAAACCAAACCAAACCAGTGAGTGGAGTGTGACATTATTTTTCCACATTTGCAAACCTTCAATGTTTGGCTTAACAGGAGACATTTATGTGCCCACATCTGCCTCTGCATTTGGTCTCTCGCAGTGCCACCTTGAAGCCTCCCCAAGATGTGTAGTTGGGCAAGGACCTCAGACTCCCAGGGTCCTAGGGACATATTTTGGAGGGCATCTTGTGCCATTGTTTTTAATCCATACATTCTAGAAAAAAAAAAAGAAAAAGAAAACCAAGACAAAACTGGAGGAGGAAGAGACATCCCAACATCCTAGCTCAGGAATTGGAGGATGTACTCTGTAAGGTGGCTTTGGAATGCCTCTGTCCCTCAGGGAAGGGACCAGCCACTGTGTGAGGCTTAGCTGTAAGATGGGAGATTTTTTTTTTTTTTTTTTTTTTGAGGTGAGCTTGGAAAGAAGGGTGCATGCCAGATAGCCAAGGACGGGGAGCAGGGGCTTTTGTAACTGTGATGTCTCAGTGTCTGCAACCCTACCTCCCCCTTCATGGGCAAATCCTCTACTGCATGAGTTTGAGTGAGTCCTGCCTCTTCTTCCAGAGCTACAGAAGCAAGAGCTCTTCTCACATCCTGGAGGCTACAGAATGAACACACATCTGAGGCTCACTCCACCATATTCCTGATGGTCCCTAATGTATGACCTTGACTGGGTTTCCAGCTATACAACTTCCCAAGATCCCTGTGTGCTTGCTGAATTTGACCCCAGCCTTCCTGCCTATCTGTGAATACCTGTGTCCTCATGGATTCTTTTCTAAGTCAGCCCGGGAGAGGGCTGGGGGAAGGCCCGACTCCACTCCGCTCTCCTGTATCCCACCACCTGCTACCTGGCTGCTCTCCCTGCACCTGGCCTTGACCTCCCATGGTATCCAGCATAACCCTGCAGAGAAGCACCTTCATAAAACTGTCCTGCAAGAGCTGCCAAGCCTCACCAATTCACTGAGGAGCCTGAATGCAGTGTCCTCCCCTCACACCTCAGGTCCTCAACAGATTCTTTCAAATGGCAACAACTTAAACATTACTTAAAAATTAAAGAATATTTGTAAAACAGAAGGCAAGAAAATAATTCATGATCCACCATATGTTTTGTAATTCCTTTAGAATGACCTTCAAACCAAAGAGGTCACAGGTGTGGCTATGTGCTTTGGCCACCAGAATGCAGACGTGACATAAGTCACATACGTGAGCAGGTCATAATACGCTGCACTGTAGAGAAATAGAATAGACATGAACTATATTTGTGCTTGAAAGGTTTAGCTTAGCCTCCTTGTTTTTCTGCCATGAGAAAGAGGAACACAGCTCAGGGAATGTTGTACCTTCAGCCAGGCCCCAGATCAAACTCTTGCCTGGAGTGTGGTTGCAGGCCACTGAGGGTCTGAGGTTGTTCAGCAGTAAAAGTTGTTTTGCAGAAGAAACTAGACTGACAGAATTGACATGCTAAGTTCCGTGGAGTCACTGTGCCCTGATCACATAAACCCTCAGGCACAGCTGAGGTTGCACTGACTTCAGATCAACAACAGTTCCACAACCTGTCACTTGGCTGTTTTTATCCAAGTATGAAGGCAAGACAAGGGCCTGGCAGGGGACAGCTTAAGGTGGGAAGCTGTTACCACACTTCAGGCACTGGCTCGTCCACACCACATACTGTGGGAGAGGAGATGATGATGGCTGGGTGGGTGTGGAGAGGGACCCACCAGGGTTAACGGACTATACCAGCTACCCACAAGCCCTTACCCGGAACCTGTAGCCAGGAGGGGCTGCTGATCCCCCTGTAGCCCCCAAACCTGCCCTTTAATTCCTCCAACACCTGCTCCTTCTCTGCTCAATTTTAATGTTCTTTTCAGTTATCTTTGGGGGGCTAAGGGGAACCGAGAGGGGAGCACCTGGCTCCTAAAAACAAAGATGGGCCTCAAGTTCCAGGTAAAGGACACTGTGAAGCTAGCGGCACCTTCCCACGGGTTTTCCACAGCTGCTCTTAGCTCTTCCCTCTAAGGCACATGGCTGCGATGAGCACCATCTACTCACTGCCATGGGAGGCGAGGCTCGCACTTTCCATATACACTCCCAGTGGGCAGGAGCCACATCCCCCCGGCTCTCCACTGTATCCCCAGCTGCCCAGCACAGCGACTGGCTCAGTGTAGGTCCTCATTCCCACATTCAGCTAGCAGGTATAAACCCACCGTGAGAGGGCTAAGGGGAGGGGAAACGCTGTTGCAGCCAACATATCCCAGCTGTGGAGTCCTCAGGCCAGCAGGCACTCAGCTCCCTAGGATGGCTTCTCTGTCACTAGCCATGTGGACCAAGAATATTACTTTAACATGGGACAAAAATGGTGAATTTAGGTTTATCTTTTTCTTGAAATGGAACAGGTCTGCCTCATGGCTAGGGCAAAGGGTGTAGTTATGTACTCACAACATGGAGAATAGTTTAGAAAATTTTAAATAAGTTGCTAATAAAAGTGGGTTCCCTCTCATCTTCTCCCAGTAATTTGAGCACTCCTTTTCATTACAAACTCCTTTTCAAAGTGTTTATTTGTTCTCAGTCAGAATATCACTTTTGAAGGGTCTGGCTCTACCCTTCTGATTCTGGTGTACCACCAGTATCTGAACAAACACTGTACTTTCCTAAAAATAAAACCTGAACTATTGTTTCTCTACGGCTGACAGACCAAAAAGTCTGGACCTTAAAATAAAAGTCATCTTTTGACCATTTTTGGTTAAGGCTACTATCTTCAGCTTTTCAATGACAAGTAATGCTTTACATCACGACAAACTAAAATTCTAACACCCTGAGAAATGGACAACCACTTGCTGACTTTGGTTGTTCCTCAATTGTTGTTACTACTTGTGGAAAAATTCGAGGTGGTAATGTATCACTTTATGGCCTGGTACCACACTGTGTCCAAAGGGTGGTGGCTCCTCCCTCTACTAACAGGTACTAAGAGAGACCTTAAAATTGAATATTCAGGTCCACAGGATTTTCAACTCCTACATTTATACCTAGTACTTCGATATGATCCCATAAGAGGGTACATATGAACATCTTATGCAGTCTTTATGTACATCTGCAATAGACATTTATCTTCACATAGAAACTTAAAAAAATACTTTAACATAATACACTGTACTGCAGAGAACTAGAATATATTACACTGCTAAAATATTCATATAAATACTATATATGCAGATTCACTCCATTAGAAAAATTCGTCTATTACAATATTAACGAACAGTATCAGCAAAGCCCAAAGAAAAACTATCTTAACAGTGGGGACACTAGAAATAACAACTATGAGGTTTATAAACCAGTGGTGGAAAGAGAATTCTATATATTTGCTATTCTGTCATAACAGGCACAATAATCTGAAATACAATTTTACAGACTAGCAATGTATAAAAATACTTTTTAAACAATACTGTTGACAGGTATACTAGCACTTAAAAACAACAACCACCATCAAACAGTTGTGTAGTTATTTCTTTTGAGGACCTACTAAAACAACTTACTGCCCTTGGCTAGCTCTTAAACATCGACCTGGAAAGCAAGTTCTATCACCCATGTGCACACACCACACACACACAACCACAGATTAAAACAATCTCCTCTATGGTGCATACTGATGAGTCACTGATCCGCATCAATCTCACAAGGCATGAGCTGATGTGTTTGGAGCCTGTTTCCAGTTCCAGGTTTGGGATGGATGAACAAAGAGGCAAAAGCAAGGTGGAATTTGTGTGTGTGTATATGGTTTCTATTTCACGTAAGGGCCTTGGGTGGAAAAGCGCTTAGTCTGGCATATCAATATTTAACTTGGGGGGTGGAGGAACATATTTTCCAGGGCTCTGTGTTATAACCACCCTGGCCTTCTTTCCAAACATTGGAGCAATTTTTGGAGCTTCTGGACCGGATGTTTCCTCAGCATCTTCGCTATCTTCATGATGGAGATCATATGAAATGTTCCCATATTCTCTTAAAAATGGGAAAATTTCAAGCAGAAACTGACAGAAATCTCTGCGAATACCAAACCACCAATGATTGCCTCCTTTTCGCCTAAACGTTGTAGCCATCAAAGTTATTAACGAGAGCCAAAGGGGGACAAAGATGGAGATGTAAGAGAATGTGTTGTGCCCATCCAATCTGTGAACCAGTAGGACCTCAAAAGTGAGCAGAGGCACCACAATCGTTATCCAGCTGATGGCCATGGTGACATGAGTTCTTCTCTGTTCGGCTACCACATCCAGGGATCGCAGGAACAGAAGGGACCAGACGATGTAATACAGGACGACCAGACAAAGAAACGACATGAGGATCCACAGGGGGACGAACACCACCAGCCACGGCCAGTGGATAATCCTGTCCAGCCTCAAGGCAATAAAGATGAACTGCAGGATGTTGACTGAGCACAAGATCTCCAGCTCCAGCGACCTATCGTGTCGGAAGCCCCAGACGCAGGCGGCCACAGACACCGGGGAGACGAAGAAGAGTGGCATGAAGACCAGCAGCCAGAAGTGGGTCCCTCTCTCCACACGGTCACAGACTAGGACTTCGAACATGAGCAGCAGCAGGTGGATGCCTACGGCGATCAGCATGGCTTTGAACTCTACGCAGGCCTCCCCCTCGGTGCGGTAGCGAGGGTTGCGGGCCCAAACGCCAGCGCCCACAGAGGCGCCCGCGATGACCAGGAGCTTCCACAGCCATATGGGGGCGAAGACGGCCCAGTAGCTCCACTGGATGATGCCGTCCAGACGGAGGGGCAGCAGCACGGAGAAGAGCAGCAGGCAGGCGTAGATTAGGAACTTACTCGGGTTGAAGTCCTGGAACAGGCCCCTGGGGTTCATGGCGGAAGCCGCCGTCCACCTGCCCGAGCCTTCTGCTCACGCGGCTCGGCGCCCGCGTCCCTGCAGCTCCCAGGGCCCGCCGCCTCCTTGGCTTGGCCTGCCCCGGCTCTAGGTGGACATCGGCGGGGGCCAGCCAGGAGGAGGCTCTGAGCCGCGGCACCGAGAGACCGGAACACGTGCGCGCGCGGTCACGTGACCTGGCCGGAAGCGCGCTGGGGCACGGCGTGCGCGGGCCCGGGGCTGCGCGGCGTCTACGAGGGGGGCGCTGCCTCGGCCCCGCCGCCAGCTGGGTGGGGGCCCGCTCTGTTTGCTTTCATTCCGCACCCATCAGGGGAGGCACCTGCTGCGTGCAGCGCCCGGAGGGGCCGGGAGCGCTACCGAGTCCTCAGCTGGCGCGTAGGCAGCGACCGGGCCACGACCTCAGGCGGACGCTTCCTGGCGGCGGCCGGAACGAGGAGGAGGGATTGAGCTCACATCCTCCCAGCCGGCTCGGGGGCGGGGCGGGGGCGGAGCCCGGAGAGGGCAGGGGCGGGGCCTGGAGACGCGGTCCTCTCCGTGCTCCTCTCTCGCCTGCAGCTCGCTGCCTCTCTCCCGGTACAAATCTGGGGGCTCTGCTTCCCGCGGCGAGGCTCCAGTGTCAGTGCGCGGAGTAGGGAACGGCATGGACACGAGCAAAGGCGGGGGCCGACGAGTGTGAGCAAGGGAGTGGGTGCCGGTGACCCTATGACTGCCGAGGACGCATGTACACAGTGTGGGCCAGCGCGGGTCTGTGGGACCTTAGCGGGAGACAGTGGATTTGACCCAGGACTCGGGAGGGAGGCCCAAGTGTGCAATCAGTGCATGGGGTAAGGTGGCTCCCAGGGTAAAGCTCCACCTGACTGGGCAACAAACATTCTCAAGCTCCATGTGAAGTGGCTGTGCCGAGTGTCTAGGCTGCGGCGATCTTTTACCGTCCTTTTCACCCCAGGAGTGGAGAGCGGGTGCAGGCGAGGGTGCTAGGATTCTACAGGACCCAAAGCAACGTCCTGAGGGAGCAGGTGAGGAAACTGGTCCTGGATAGAGGGATTCTTTTTGCTCTAAGTCACTGCGACAGATTAGCAGCAACGTTGCAATTTAGATTCAAGGCTCCCAACTTCCAAGTCTCTAAACCTCATTTTGACTCCTGCCTGGGAATGATTCTTGAAGAACTGTGTTGGGGAAAGGGCACCAAACCAGAGGTCAAGAAATTTGGTTCTGGTCCAGGCCAGCTACTCACCAGGCGTAAAACCTATGCAGATTGACCCCTCTTTTTCTGGGCTTAAGTTTCCTTGTCTGTGAAGTTGGGGACTAATCAGTAAGGGCTACAAAGCTGCAATCGGTCTTTGATTTGGAGCACCTCTTTCTCTCTTGATCGCTCAGCATACCCCTCCCCCGCCCCCCAAGGATTTCTACCTCCTTTTCTCTTTGCCCCCCTGCTCAGCAGAACCTTGGTTGTCCTTCCTGCCTTTCAGCCCCCACTGGTCTCACCTGGTCTGGTTCCCAGAAGTGGGTGTGGGATGCCAATACAAAAGTCCTGGACTCTGAGGTGGGGGAAGTCATCAGAGGAATGCATGGGCCATCAGAGTCTCTGTGGAGTAGCAAGGAAGAGCTTTCAGGGGGAAACAGGATACTTTCCTGCACCCTCACAGCCCCAGCTTCCAGCTCATCCACAGGGATGTGGGAATCAAGATCCAGACCCAGCAGATAGCTTTTTCTGGACATGGCAGGCACCTGTAGAAAGCACATGAAGCACCATGTGGAAAGACCAGTCCAAGTGCTCAAAGGTCTCCCACAACTCACCTGCTCCCACCTCTAGCGGGGGCAGTCAGGTGGCCCTGGAGGAATAACTCCTAGCTGAGTGAGCATCAGTTCTGAACATTGATTTCCAAAGAGCCTCTGGGGAGTCACTGTGGGGACATTCAGCTAAGTTGAGCCTGGCCTTTCTCCCTGAGCCCTCTCCTTAACCAGAGCCAGAGCCACTATAATCATTTTGCATAGTGGCTTTTTGGTACTCTTTCAAGAAAGATCTGTCAGCTGAAACAAATTTTTTAAAAATTGAAACCCCGACATCACTCCCAACTTCCTCTTCATCTGTAAGATGGGCTAATTAAAGCTCGTAGGGTTGTTTTGAGGATTAGATGAACCCACACATGAAACTTTGCATTTTGCATTTAGAGAAATGAGAGTGATGAATATTACCACATGGAGGAAAATAGAGCCTGTGGAGGGGAAGAACCTGCTGGCAGCACCCCCACCCCCCCAGGAGGTGATGGCTGAGCCAGGTCCAGGTCTGATTGTGAGAACAGTTGGAAATCCTCCCCAATTTGTACAGTCAGGTGACCTCAGGGCCTCTGTGCCTTAATGACAAAGAGGAGTTTGGAGTCTGTTTCTCCATCTTTTTTCTTTTTAACTTTATTATTTATTTATTCTTATGTGGTTCTGAGGATCGAACCCAGGGCCTTGCACATGTGAGGCAAGCGCTCTACCACTGCGCCATAACCCCAGCCCATTTCTCCATCTTTAATGTTCTTCATTTAGAACAAGTGCATGATTCCTTCCTTCCAAGACGGGAGTGTTGAGGTGTCCAGTAATAATGCAGTGTGCTCCTGCTGCCCAGCTCCTGAGGGAAGTCAGAGCTGGCTTCCAGGTTTGTGACAAGGGATACTATCTGTTGTCATCCTGTAGCTGGTGTTCCAGGCCTGCAGGCTCTGCTCTGTACCTCAGACTTGCCCCTATGCTGTTTTTTTTTTTTTTTCCTGAGATAGCTGGTCTCTCAGTGACCTGCCTTGTCTTTATTTACCTTTAAAGCTAATATGGATTGTCTACCATATGCCAGGAGCTCAATGGCACAGCCACCCTCAAGGCTGGCACACACACCCAAGCTAAGTTTGTCCAGAGGGGTTTCTAGATGTGATGCTTCAGGTTACCATTGCAGGCCTGTCTTGCATGAGTTGAGATACATGGTGGTTACGGAGTGCAGAGGGTGTGAAGGTCACTGTCCTGAGATGTGTTCCCCCTCCCCTAGCATCTCTCCCTTGCTTGGCATCCTCAGTCCCAGCCGCCCTGTGACCTCTGAGGTCCTCCTGATCTCACCCAGGTCCACTGCTGATCCATGCCCCTTTTCATGGTCCGTATCAGCTAAGCCAACCTGTCATTCCCTTGAATATCCATGCGTGATCTCCCCATCCATTGGCCCCGTTGTTCTCCCTGGAAGGGCCTACCCCATGTAGCTACTCCTTCTTCCTGGACTGCCAAGATCCAAGACAGGCCTGCCAGCCCTTGGGAACTTTCTCTACCCCTGACAGACCAGTAACTCTGGTCTCCCACACTCCCACCTCTCCTTGCAGTGGCCTCCTCCTGTCTCCCTGCCTCCCCACCACCAGCATGCACCCTCCCACACTCACTGCAGAGGAGGCTGTGGAGCCTTGGGAGATAAGGTCCAGTCACAGGCCTCATTTCACTGGGGTTGTGTTTGATTGACTCCATGAACTTTGAACTCTAGATCCCTGCTGGCACTTATGTCATATGGATGTTTGAGAAATGTTGGTTGAGTGAATGGCTGAGTGAGTTCAACCTGTCATGGTTTTCTTCTCACTACTATGTGCCAGGCCCTGTGCCCTTCCCTCCCTGTCCAGGGAGAGCTTTCTGTAGTAGCTCATGTATGAGTTATTATTACTGCTGAAACAAATTGCCACACCCTTAGTGGTTTAAAGCAACATCTGTTGATTTTCTCCCAGTCTCTGAGAGTCAGAAGTCTGGGTTCCAGCTGGTGCTCTGCAGTAGTCTCGGGAGGCTGAGACACAGGTGTTGGCGCCCTGGTGATGACTCTGGTTCCGAGTTGTGTGTTGGCAGAATTCAGTACCATGGAGTTGTAGGACTGAAGCTATTTCCTTGTTGGCTGTCGGCTGGGTTCATTCTCAGGCCCTCTGTTTCCTGGCTTGGCAAGTCTTCACGTGTGAACTCTATGGACTCCGCCTCTCTTCCCTTTTTAAGGGCTCATGGGATTTAATTGGGCCCATCCCAATATTCCTGGGTCATCTCTATTTTAAGGTTAGTCTGTTGGTAACCTTTATTCCTTCTGCAAAATCCATAGACTTTTGCTCAGTACCTTGGCTCCTCCCTCTCTAAGCAAGGAGATGGCCTAACTCCAGAGTGCCACTGGTCTGGGAGAACCCCAGTCTTCAGGGAGAGGGGGCCCTGACCTTGTGCCTCTACCTCCCCAGGTTGTTCTTGGTGACCACTGAGCATGCTCTTGGTCCTGGACCCTGGGCTTCAGTCAGATTCCTTCATGGCCTACAGTCTCAAGACACAGGATGCTCTTGCTGAATGTGCTCCAAGGGACTGGCTTGGAGCCAAGGGTAGCCCAGTATAGGAAGCCCAGGGAAGTTTCCCTTTCAGACCTGTATGTGGATTTGCTCTCATTAGCTTTTTCACAAGGAAGTCACAGCCCATAGGACCCCTTCTGTCAGCCGGGGTGCCCACCATTGCCCCTCAGGCCCTGGTCCCTAAATAAAACATGCTCCAACCTCTCTTTGCAATAACCTCCCCCTGTCTTCCTCCCCATGGCTGGAACACACCCTCCCACGCTCACTCTGAAGGCCCCTGGCTGCCCTGTGAACCTTGCTCCCTGACCTTGGCAAGTAACTTAAGTCTCTGGTCCTCCTCTGTGAAATGGAGATAAGTTCCATAAATGTGAGGGTAAAATGAAACCATGTATCAAAATCTAGAATATGTTGATTTTCCTGTCCCAGTAGTAACTATTGTTAAATATCTCTTTGGGACCCCCCTTCCTGAAAAATGGGAACCCGTGATCCAAAAGTGTTCACACTACAGGGTATTGTCATCCCGTTTGCCGGTGACTCTCAGGCCCCTGTGATTTTCTCAAAGACAGAGACAAGTCTCTCATCTGTATCAGCAGTTGCCAGCACAGGCCTGCAGGTGGTAATGTAGCCGGTAGAGAGCAGGGGGTGGGAAGGTTGGAACTGATGTGCTCTTTTCCCAGGGTTGAGCAGCAGAGCACTTGCCATCCTACTATCTAAAGCTGACAGGCCTGGGGCTTGCAGGGAAGTGTTTTGGGGCTTGCAGGAGGAACTCCCAGGGCACACAATTCCTCCTGCTTGTAATGAGCTCATTTTACAGATGAGGAAACTGAGGCCCAAGACCATGGCTACAGTTCTCTGCTAAACCCCCAGCAACAGACTTTCTGCTGAGCCTTGCTTTTGGTCTCACTGGCATCCAAGCCCTGTCCTCAATAATCTTCTCCACCCCCTGCAAGAGCCAGGTTCCAATGACCATCTCCCCTAAAGTCATCTCCCTTCCTACTTATAGCACACGGTTTTAATTCTACTATTTATCAAGTGGTCACTAAATGCATGCTCACTTTAGAAATATCTGGAAAATGCTGAAAAAAGGAAGGGGGATGGGA